AATTTGATTGTGACCCTTGGGTTTTTAAAAATCAACCACACCCTCGGTATACCACAATCTGGCGTTGCTGGCAGGATTCTGAGATTGACAGAGACGTGTAATGTTCTTTTTTTTGTGACCCAGTTGGTTGGTTTAATTTCTATTTGTGGTGTAAAACAGCAGCAGGGTTTGGGGTGTGCCTCGTCGGCTGGTGCTGCCGTAATCTCTTCTGCTCTGTCCATGGAGGAAATCGCTGGACTAAAGGAATTGGTCGCTCAGCTCCAGGCGGAGAATCGGAGGCTTCAGGAACAGCAGAACCAGGATGGAGCTCGACCTGGGACGTCAAGCTCCACTTCCACCTCTGATTCCAGTCCTATTGGGAACAACTCCAATGCCCCGGTAACTGAGAGGCTGGTGTACCTCCCCAGGGAGCGTCGGTGCCCAATGTTTAGAGGTAACACTGGACTGGACGTTACTGAGTGGCTTGAAGAAGTCGAAGCCTGCCTTCGCTTACGCCGTTGTACCTCGGCTGAGAAAGCCTTGTTTATGTTTGATCATTTAGAGGGTCAAGCGAGGGAAGAGATTAAATATCGCTCTGTAAGAGAGCGTGAGGACCCCCATAAAGTTATAGCCATTTTAGAGGAATTGTATGGTTGTACAAGGTCACATGTGTGTTTGCAAGAAGAGTTTTTTTCAAGAAAGCAAGTAGAGGGTGAGACGCTCCAAGAATTCTCCCATGCTTTAATGTGTCTTATGGACAAAGTTATTAAAAAGGCTCCTAGAAATGTAGAAAACAAAGAGGTGTTGTTACGAGACCAATTTGTTGAACATGTCTCAGATTGCACACTTCGTCGAGCTTTAAAGCGGCATGTTCGTGATAACCCAACTGCCACCCTTATTCAGGTTCGCACTGAGGCCATGAGGTGGGAACAGGAAGGGATGCCAGTGGGTGGGAGAGCTCGTAGTCACTCAGTCCCCTCTGCATTTGGATTCCAGCACGCTGTACAAGAGGTCCATACAAATCCAACCCAGTTCAGTAGACCACCCCCTAGTTCAGAAATGTCAGAGCTAAAGGAAATGCTTAAAAATCAGCAGGAACAGTTAAACCTCCTCACTAAAAGTTTGGCAGAGCTTAGAGGTCCACAGCAGCAGACAAACTATGGTAAGCCGGTCATATGTAAACGATGCCAGCAGCCAGGTCATTATGCGCGTCATTGTCGCTCCCCTTATGTGTCCCCCCAACTCCAAAATAGAGGTCCCACTCATGGTTTGCAGCCGGGAAACTGGCACCCCCTGAACCACTGAGCCACAGTTCAGGTGGGGGTCCCTCAGGCTCAAATCCAGCAATTCCAGACAACTTGGTCTCAGCCTGTCCGAATCTTTCAGTTGTGATGGGTGGTGTTGAAGTTCCCTGCCTTGTTGACACAGGTTCCATGGTGTCGACCATAACTGAAACTTTCTTTGCCCAACATTTTCAACCTTGGGGTCAACAAAGGTTGAAAACTTGTAATTGGTTGACTCTAAGCGCGGCTAATGGCTTAGCCATTCCATACATAGGCTATTTTGAGTTGGATGTAGAACTATGTGGGAAAGTCATTTCTAAAAGGGGAGTGCTAGTGACTAAGGACCCCCCCATTCCTGCGTCTACCCCAGGAGTTATAGGCATGAACATCCTGAAAGAGTGCTATCAGGAATTGTTTTCTCAGTTTGGTCATGCCCTCTTTCACACGCCTTCTGTCTTACAGGCCCCACCCACACTTCAGCAAGCGCTTCGATTTTGTCACCGGATTGACGCAGGCCCTCCTTTGCTTTCGGGCACAGTAAAAGTACAGGAGGGTAAAGCTTGCAGGGTTCCAGGAGGTACTGTTAAGATGGTAGCTGCCACTTGTTTTCAGCAAAGCCTAGAGACAGACGCGTTGTTTGAGCCCCGTACAGACGGCTTGCCAGTGGGACTCTTGGCTTCTCCATCCGTGGTCCATATTGATAATGGCAGAGTTTACATCCCCATTGTTAATGTAGGGAACCAGGACGTCCTATTGTACCCACGTACTGTACTAGGTACTCTGACTGAGGCAGAGATCGTTTGTTCACCTGTCACGGGTCAGTTTAGTGCCACTATGTCCTCTCAGACTGGCATACCAATGCAGGCTAGGATTGACTCTATGGACCTTTCCGCACTTTCAGATCAGGATCAGCACAGTGTCAGGGCCCTTCTTCATAAGTATGACAATGTGTTTTCTCAGCATGAGGGAGATTTAGGGTGCACTAACCTAATTTCCCATGAGATCCCCCTAGTTGACGAGGTGCCTGTAAAGCAACGGTACCGACGGATACCACCGTCAGAGTATGAGGCCGCCAAAGAACACATCCGGCAGCTACTGGAGTCGCAGGTGAGTCGGGAAAGTTGTAGCCCCTTTGCATCTCCCATTGTGCTTGTCAATAAGAAAGATGGCAGCCTCCGCTTGTGCGTCGATTATCGGCTCCTTAATAGTAAAACCCGCAAGGATGCCTTCCCCTTGCCCAGAATAGAGGAGTCCCTTGACGCCCTCTCTGGGGCCCAATGGTTTTCGACGCTGGACCTCGCTGCGGGGTACAATCAAGTACCAGTAACAGAACAAGACAAAATGAAGACTGCATTCTGCACCCCCTTTGGATTGTTTGAATGGAACAGGATGCCATTCGGGCTGTGCAATGCGCCATCAACATTCCAGAGATTGATGGAAAGGATTTTTGGTGACCAGAACTGTCAATCATTGTTACTGTACCTGGATGATGTGGTGGTCTTTTCATCCACAGTCAAAGAACACATCGCAAGGCTGGAGACCGTACTGTTTCGGCTGCAGGAAGAAGGACTGAAAGCAAAACTGGAGAAGTGTTCATTTTTCAAGACAGAAGTGGGCTATCTGGGCCATGTAATTTCCAGGGATGGTGTCTCTACAGACCCCAGCAAGGTTGAGGCTGTCTCAAATTGGCCCCATCCAACAACTGTTCCACAGCTCCGCTCTTTCCTCGGATTCACCAGCTATTACCGCCGGTTCATTGAGGGGTTCGCAAAACTGGCCGCCCCGCTACATCGTCTCGTGGCAGAGCTTAATGGGACAAAGACCAGGAGGCCTTCAAAGACTCCACTGCCCACTGCATGGACTCCAGAGTGTGAGACCAGTTTTACAGAACTTAAACAAAGGTTGGTGGCAGCGCCTGTTTTAGCTTACGCAAACTTCTCACTACCGTTCATACTTGAAATTGACGCCAGCTACAGTGGGTTGGGCGCAGTCCTCTCGCAAGAACAAGATGGCAAGATTAGACCAGTAGCCTATGCGAGCCGTGGCCTTCGCCCTACCGAGCGGAACATGAACAATTATAGTTCAATGAAACTAGAGTTTCTTGCACTTAAATGGGCAATGACCGAAAAGTTCAGAGACTATTTGATTGGACATAAATGCACCGTGTTTACAGACAATAATCCACTCAGCCATTTGTCCACTGCCAAACTCTGTGCCCTGGAACAACGCTGGGCTGCCCAGCTAGCCAACTTTGATTTTACCATAAAATACAGGCCAGGACGAGCTAATGGCAACGCTGATGCTCTGTCGCGCCAAAACCCTATGGCCAATCATGACCATGTTCCAGTACCCTTAGGCCTTCCTATGCCAGAACCACTGCAGCAAGCCATTTCAGCCAGGCAACCCGTATCTTCCAACCTTGTATCAGTGTTGCCATCTCAATCTGTTGCTGATCTGTGTGCCTTACAGGAAGCTGACCCCATGATTGGAGAGTTCCTGCAGTTCTGGAGAGAGGAGAGGCGTCCCAACGCAACAGAGCGGCGCAACCTCTTGAGGGACACCGTGATCCTAGTCCAACAGTGGTCTCGGCTCCTCACCAGGGACAATATACTTTACCGCCGGATTACTCTCAAGGGGGAAGAAGCCCTCCAACTGGTCCTCCCCAGTGCTCTGAAAGAACTGGTGTTACAGCAACTACATCAGGAGCATGGGCACCAGGGAATTGAGAGGACATCGGAGCTAATCCATCAGCGATGCTACTGGCCCAAAATGTACGCTGAGATCCAGAGATGGTGCCAAGAGTGTGAAAGATGTCAAGTCGCCAAAGAAAGCAGATCTGGCGGGTCATACATGGGACACTTACTGGCTTCTCGCCCCAACCAGATCCTGGCCATTGACTTCACCATTCTGGAACCCTCACAGAATGGCATGGAGAATGTGATGGTCATGACGAACGTCTTCTCAAAGTACACCCAAGCCGTGCCCACCAGAGACCAGAGGGCATCTAATGCTGCCAGAGTCCTCGTCATGGAGTGGTTTTACAAATTCGGAGTGCCAGCACGTATTCACTCCGATCAAGGACGGAACTTTGAAAGCTCATTGATCCAGCAGCTTTGTCAACTGTACGGGGTTCAAAAGACTCACACTACGCCCTACCACCCCGCCGGAAATGGGCAGTGCGAGAGGTTCAATAGAACTCTTCATAACCTCTTGCGCACTCTGCCAGTAACAAAGAAGAGGGATTGGTCCTGCTACCTGCCCCAGATGACATTTGCCTACAACACCACCCCAAATCAGTCCACGGGTGAGTCTCCCTACTTCCTGATGTTCGGTCGAGACCCACAGTTGCCAGTCGACTTCATTCTTGGGCGCATCGAGGAGCCGGTCGCAGGCACTGTTCAAGAGTGGATTGTCGAACATCAACGGCGACTAAAGCATGCCTTTGACGAAGCAAAAAGGCACCTGGACGCTGCGGCGGTACACAGGAAAACAAACCATGATGCAAAGGTCCGCAATCAGCCGTTGGCACAAGGTCAGCTGGTCTACTTGAAAAATGTTGGAATCCGAGGCCGCCACAAGATCGAAGATTCATGGAGCTCTGTAGTGCACAAAGTCGTAACTGCACCCAAACCTGGAGGTTGCGTGTACACTATCGCTCCGGTCAACAGTCCTGGACAAGTAAAAAATGTCCATCGGTCACTGATAAAGGGCAGAGTGGATCAACCGGCACCACCTCCTATGGAGCCCGTGCCAGTTCCTATCGCCACGGCACCCGAAGGGCCACTGGCCGAGGGAGAGTGGTTTCTTAGAGTAGAGGAACCGGTTCGGCGCTGCACCACACCCAGGACCTCAGTACCAGCTTCGTCAGGTCAGTCACCTGTGCCCACATCAACGGGCCGCGAGTCAGAGCCAGCTCCTTCCGTCACAGACCCACCGAGTGATGAGGATGCCCCTCCAAGGAGGACCACTCGGGCCACGGCCGGAAGACACCCAAATCGCTACCACCTTCCCCAACCAGTAGGGAGTAATGCAATAGGGGCTACAAACTCGCAATTGCCTGCACCCAGTACAAGAGTGTTCCGGCCATGGCAGTAAACACAATCGTCGGGCCGACGATTAAAGTCTTGGGGGGTAGAATGTAGTGGGGCTTTGGTGTGCCCTGTGGCTCCACCCCTAGCTCCACCCTCGCCCCACCCACTAGTTAGCTGCCCCTTTTAAACATCTGGGTAAGTTGGAGGGGAGCCATTTTGTGATGCTGGTGTGCTCTGTAGCTGTGGTCCTTTCCTCATGAATTTGTCCAAATTTGTCTTGCTGCTGTATTGCTGGAGTGGGTAGGCAGCATAAGTCTGCTGTGGAGGTAGGCCCTTACCACTTGTTACTCTTTTTCTGTCCTTAATCCGTTCTGCCCCAATGGTGACAATTGGTCTTGTTTTTATTTAGTGCTGGTTCCTAACCGTCAAGGGTGGTAAGTTGGTGGCAAGTTTTTAGTTTTAGTCAGCCTTAACAATAATTATAACTTTGTTCCACACAGGCTAACCTGCTGCTGTTTTACTTTGTCATTGTTTTGTTTTTGTTCTGTTTTGATGTTTGTTTTGCTTTTGTTTGTGTCATTACTGGTTTTCTTTAGTTGCTGGTTTCTTGTTTTGTTTTTTTGTGCCACTTGCTTTAGTCTAGTTTGTTCTTTGATGTATACTTTTGCTTTTTATTTTATTTTGTTAATATAGTTTCTTTGACTAGTTTAGTTTAATTAAATCTTTTGATTTATGTTTACAGCAACAGGTTGTCTAAAACCAACTGGGTCCAGTCGTACTTCTCATTAACAACTTTTATCTTTTTCTTTTAGCAACGCTGGGTGCCTCTGGTGGCTGGGCTAGGCACATTGGTGTGGTCCCCCACCTTTGCATGTGATTTAGTGCACTTGGTTCACGAGTTAGTTTGCACATTTCATTTGCTGTGTCTTTTTGCTGTGTCCACTGTGGTGAGTATTCTGTGTAGCACCCCTGGGCACCTCCCTGAGTAGCATGCTCACCACCGGTGGCCCCAGCTAGCTCCCTTTTTGTTTTGGTATTTGCATTTTTAGCATCTAGGCCTTTTTAGATTCATCTTTACCATTTTAATAACTTTTGAATAACCTTTTTATATATTGTTTAATTTGTTAAATAAAATTGACCTTTTCTAACTTTAGTTTGTCCAATTCCTTTCTCTTTTTAGCAGCATCCTTTTATCAATAAACATTTTAAACTTTCATTCACTTCTGTCATATTTTAACTTAGATACTTACCTGTGTTCCTTTTTATATGGTAATTTGATTGTGACCCTTGGGTTTTTAAAAATCAACCACACCCTCGGTATACCACAATCGCATTGGTCATGTGACTTCAGGTGACATCACGAGGACCACCGCAAATGCTGTGACGCTCAAATATACAATATACACAATGGAACTATGTGTGTTGGTTTCTCGATCTTAAAACAGTTTGATTCAGTTTCACCTCTGTCACAGCTTTAGATCAGACTTTTCTGATCTGTGTCATGTAACTGTTACAGAGGACACGTGTAAATTATATATACATATTTATGTATGTATGTATATTTAACATTATCATATTAAATACTGTCGGTTTAATGAAATCCGTGCAGTTTTTAAAATAAATCCCCCACTTCTCCTGCTCTGAAGGTTTTCAACACATATTGGATGAAGATGTTTTTATTCCGTGACGATCAGAGCGTGTTCCATCTCCTTTAAATGTAATGTATGTGATTGACAAAGTGGATTATATTTAAATATGGATTATGCTAATCCAGCTCTCAGTGTTTGCGTAGGCTTTCTCTTGGTGCTCGCCTTTTCTCTGCCATAAATAATATTTATAATGAAGAAATACATTAGGCTCCTCCCATTGGACTCCTAGGAAAAAGTAACAGTTATGGTTTTATTATGGTTAGAAAGGTCAGTATAGATAATCTCAAAGGACTCACATCAGAGCGTCGGGCAGGTGCTCTCTGGCCTCTGACTTCATGGGAGATTTCCTGCATTTTAAAAAGGATTAGACGCCTTAAATTAGATCATAGGTTTAATCTTTTGTTAAATGATATATTTAATGGAATGGACTTAGAGCTGGCAAGAGGACAGGAACGAGGAGAAGAGAAAGGAGAGAGAAGAGGAGAGGAGAGATGAGAAGAGAAAGGTGAACAAAAGAGAGAAGAGACATGAGGGGGAGAGGAGAGAAGGGAGAGGAGAGGACAAAAGAGGAGAGATGATGAGAACAGTTTTGCCGCAAAGATCCATGCGCAAACACACAGTTGTACACCCACACACACACACACACACACACACACAGACAGACAGAGAGTGCGGTCCCTCCTCCATGATTTTAAACCACAGTGTCTCCTGTTTGCTCGCTGCCCTTCGCCTGGACTTGTTGAATGCACAGTCCATGGACGCAACGTTTTCTTTGTGGTTGTTGTTTTATTCTATTAGGCGTTAAAGTAGCAGCTGTAATGGAATACAGTTACTCAAAAAGAGTATTCTGAACGCATGTATTCTGGAGTGTTACTCCCCTACACTGGCGACAACACTGGCTACACTTGCCCTGTTTGATATTCACTTCAACAATAGGATGGTTGGTCCCACGTCCACCATTAGAGGGGGCTGTTTTACATCTGAAACACTGCATATAAAGACTGACAGGGCAGTGCAGTAAATGTCCTCCTGCTGTGACGGCCCAAGCAGGGCCTTTTAATCTGAGGGCTCTCTGCTCTGTTTCCTTGTGAGGACAGGAGGTTGGGGGCGTCGCCGGACCCAAGCCCCACCTGTCCTGAGCATAAATTAATGCAGCTGGCTGTTTGTTTCTCTGCTCTCCTGCCCAGATCACCGGCTGCTTCCCTTTTGTCTTTTGTTTAGTTCACTTTATTTAGCTACATGCTGATTCACCTCACATGCTACAACACTGAATACACCACTGATTCACGAGATATAATGAGCCAACTCCATCTCCATCAAAGCTAACATGAGAGAACCTCCTGAATCAGGTCAAATCAGTTTTACAATTTGGGTCCCGCCCCTGTAAGTGGACTCGTACTACAACCTTTGGACACCCCTGCTGTGTCTGGTGTGTACTCCTCATAGATGTGTGTTTGCTGTGTGTTGCAGACTTTAAGGAGTGCTTCTCCCTGTATGCTCGGCAGAGGGACGGCAGGATCCAGGCCTCAGACCTGATGTTAGTGATGAGGTGTTTGGGCTCCAGTCCCACCCCTAATGAAGTGCAGCGCCACCTGCTGTTCCACAATACAGGTGAGGAGGAGAGTAGAGTAGAGGAGCGAGAAGAGAGGAGGAGATAGTGGAGAGTGGAAAGGAGAGCCAGCAGAGAGGAGAGGAGAAGAGAGGAGGGGGGAGAGTAGTGAGGAGGGAGCAGAGGAGAGTAGAGAGAGGAGGGAGAGAGGAGAGAGAGCAAAACAATTTTCTGTGTGTGACATGTTTACTCAGAATCATCAAAACGCTGAATTATGGCTTCACATCATAGGAACTGGAGGAAGTTAACCTTGCCTGCAACATGAATTCTCGTGATAATTGTGAGTTCACAAAAACAAGAGAATACATCTTGCACCGCTCCCGATTACACTTTTTGAGTAGAACATCCAGGTGTTCTACCTAATCATGGGCCAGTCTTGAAGTTTAGGCCGGGATATCTGGGTTTGACGAAAGCATGCAGTGCCGAGCCGAGGCAAAACAAACATGGCCACCCAGCAGGACCGATGCGTAGCTGAGGCTATCAAGTCAGTTCTAGCAGAATCTCAGATTTATTTTTTGAAAGATAAACAGCGAGAGACACTTTGTTCTTTTTTGGACGGTTTAGATGTTTATGCCTTTTTACCCACAGGTTGTGGTTTCTCTGGGTGCACGCCGATAACGACATATTAATTTGTTACCGTGATTGGCTTAAGTCAAATCGTGCTAGACAGTCAAACAGCGTCACTTCGCCCAATTAGCTTGAAGTATTCTGCTGTCTGCCCCTCCTTTCGCCGAAAGGATTCTCTTGCAGAAGTCCAAGATTTATATTGCGGAGAACTCATTTGAGTCCTACACAATCCTCAATCTGGCTTTTACCAGGTTAGGAGGAAGTGTAGAGTAAGAAGTGTCTGCTGAGACTGCAGTGTCAGCACCCAGCCACAAACAGAAGAGGAAGGCCAAGGAGAGACACTTTCAAACACATGAGAGCAGAATCCTCATTAAATACAATGCTGTGGATGAAGTGAAGTTTCAGACCAGACTGAGATACTTCTGCGGTGGTTTTCTCTCTGAGTGTTTTATGAGGTGTTGAACCTGCTGGATTCTCACCCTTTTGCACTTTGCCTGTGTTTCGAGTGGGGGATTCTTTTGGGCACAATTTTCAAGCGGCTTTTGAAAACACTGAGCGTACTAAAGAACAGCTTTCATCCTGACATGCAGCGGCCAAATATCACCTCCTCTGGGCTGGAAATCATTTCATTTGAAGCATACATCAAGCAGCTGTGTTAGTTCTGCTCTCATGCGTCTGCTCATTTAAGAACTAAGTCTGCCAGAGCGAATGCTTAAGATCAGGCATGTCAAAGTCAAATACGTCAGAAAGCAAAAAAAACAAATTTGCTACAAGCCGAGGGCCGGACAAATTTGGCTCTTCATCTCATTAAAAAACGTGATATTTTAGATCAGCCCTGTGAGTCAGTATTTGCCTCTTTGGGCTGAGAGATGATTGACCTAGGTTAGCTTTGTCCTCTCTTTTTCACTTTTCTGTCTGAAAAAGCAAAGAGAGACCATGAGAAACTAGAAAGAGAAAGACCAGAGAGAGTCCAGAGAGAGACCAGAGAGAGACCAGAGAGAGGCCAGAGAGAGACCAGAGAGCGACCAGAGAGAGATACCAGAGAGAGAGAGACCAGAGAGAGAGACCAGAGAGAGAGAGACTAGAGAGGGATCTGGGAGAGAGACCAGAGAGAGACCAGTGAGAGACCAGTGAGAGACCAGTGAGAGACCAGTGAGAGACCAGAGAGAGACCATAGAGACCAGAGAGCAGAAAAAGCTGATCTAAAAAGCAAAGAATAAGTGAAACCAGAGAGAAACCAGAGAAAGACCAGAGAGAGATCAGAGAGATACCATAGAGACACCAGAGAGAGACCAGAGACCAGTAAGAGAGATACCAAAGAGAGATACCGAGAGAGACCAGAGAGAGACCAGAGAGAGACCAGAAAGAGACCAGAGAGCAGTGGCGGCCGGCCAATAGAGGGCACTAGGGCGCCGCCCCACCACTCACAACTTGCCATGTTACCTTGAATAAAACGTTTAAAAAAATAATAACATTAAAATATTTCGAAATGTATGTGTGTTTTATTTCAGATGTGGAAGAAATACTTTATAGTTTATGCTGAGTTGGATTGATTAAGCTCATCAGCGTTGTCTGTGTCGGACTGAGGACGTATTTCCGCCTCAGGGCGCAAAAGATTGCGCCCTGAGCCGTCTATGGACTCTCGTTAAAAGTTGTACATGCGCAGTAGCTCCTCTTCAATGCAAGAGATAAGACGATTTGGGGGCGCAGGAGAAGTGCGCCCTGAGGGGGCGGGATCGCCCGCGACCTGTACTGTCACTGTCTGTGACGTCCGTTTACAGTGATTGACAGGTCAAGCTGTGGGAGTTTGAGACGAACGTAAAGAGACGCAAAATGGAGAACGAGAAAAAGAATAATTCAGTTAGATCACTCAAAACAATACCGTTTGAGAGAAGATCATACCAGGAGAAGGTTGAGGTTAAAGAGCTTGGACCTGATCAGCCAAATATTACCATTAGTCAGCAGTCCAGCGACAGGGGGAGACGGTACACGTACTTTTTCCAGGACCTGGTTCAGCGCCAAATCTTGGCTAGCAGCATGTAGCGAGGCTAATGCTTTATTTTGCTTTCCATGCCTCTTGTTTCAAACATCAGGATCTGACCCAGCATGGATCAAGACAGGTATGACTGATCTGAAGCACTTTTTAGAAAAGGCAAAGAAGCATGAGCAGACTGTATCCACATGCAAAATGCCCTCAAATTAGCTATGTTTGGGAAGATAAATATTTCATCCCAGCTGGATGAAAGCTACAGGCCTGATCATGTGACCTTGTTGATTCTCGTGTGAGGCTTCAGTCACAACAGTCAGTGTAAACTTACTTACTGCTGGTATATATCTAGTCATCATATTCATAGCCCCCCCAGTAGAAAATTCCACCAGCCGCCACTGCCAGAGAGAGATCCCAGAGAGAGACCAGAGACCAGAGAGAGACCAGAGAGAGACCAGAGAGACCAGAGAGACCAGAGAGAGATACCACAGAGAGAGACCAGAAAGAGACCAGGGAGGGACCAAGAGAGAGACCAGAGAGAGACCAGAGAGCAGAAAAACACAGATGCAGTCACAGATGCAGCATACATACATGTGAAAACTAGTGGTAGAGAAAATTAAACAGTTTCATTTTCTGTGGTTTTGAAAATTACGTCCCCCAGCTTTAACTTACGGCCTGGATTTCCACAGACAGAACAGTGCAGTGTCGTGTCTGATATGGACGATCCTCTGTCATCATCTAAAGCTGTGTTTTATGTTGTTTATTCGTCTTGTCTGAAGGAGAAGGAGCTGCACTGCCCTGAACTGGGGGATGATTTATGAACTGTGTGTGTCGGAGAAGAACACACTCTCATGGAACATAACACAACAACACAACAATGACAAACTGCTGCTGTCTGTCGGTCGCTCAATTGTGGGAGCTCACTTTAGGAGATATAGGAGCCCACTCTGAACTGAATCCACTTGTGCTATGATTGTTAGACCACATGGCTAATGGCGCAGATTAAAGGCCTCACTTCTGTCAGTGTGCCCCAGGGAAGCCGTGACTGTTGTGGTAAATGTGCTATACAAGTACAATGCAGTAGATGTAGGACTGACGCCAGATATTTACACATAATAAAAAAAAAAACCTATCTGTTTGTGTTCCCGAAACATGATTGATCAACAGCTTGTCTGAGCCGACCTCCAACAGCGAATTTACAGTAAATTTTTGTAGACCCAGGACTGGGGATGTAGATCAAGGACTGAGGCTGTAGACCCAGGACTGAGGATGTAGATCCAGGACTGACTGAGGCTGTATATCCAGGGCTGAGGCTGCAGACCCAGGACTAAGGCTTTAGATCATAGACTGTATATATTAATGGACAGAGTCACGCCTATCTCCGCCGTTCTAACTAATGGGGCAAAAAATGTGCTCTACTGGAGCTATCCAAAATGGCCGCGAGTGGTCCCGCCCACAAGAAAATTGTGAAAAACGCATCTGCGCATACGTCAGCCGGCGCAGCTCCATTCATTTGAACGAGAGACTTCAACAATTCACAGCAAGTAAACTAGAGTGGCCCAAAAAAATTCACCCCCCTCAGCATTGACACACATGTGGCATGCACACACATTTGGGCCCAGAGCCAACTTTTGGTCCATCCTGTAAAGACGTTTTTGAGAGGTCGGCCAATGCTATATGTTAACATTGGCTAATTCTTCTCCTGGGTCCACCCCCATCGGCCCGGGGTGGTATTGCAAGCATGTCAGCGCACGTCATTTTGGCCCCTTTTGAGCTGGGATCTGCCCCCACTGCTTAAGATTCAATATAAAAGTTACACTTCCCTTTCAAAACAAACCCTTTAGAGCACGAATAAGTGGCTGGTCTCTTTGTGAAGCTCAGGTCCTGTTGTTTTGGCCTCTGATAATGCATTGGCTTTAATTATAAGTGGTAACAATCTCTGCACGGAGAAAGATAAAACACCGAAGTCACTGACATTTACAGCGGGTCCAGAGGGAGCTGTACTTAGGTGCATAGATACATTAACAATACAAACAGACAAAGCTGGAATGTAAACAAATCTCATAAAATATACATTCAACATATTAAGTTTGAGTTTGAAAAAGAGTTCAAACTGGCCAAGACTCAGACCAGAAGGTTTGACGTCACTGGAAAGGAGCAGGACACATCTCTGACTTTGATCTTTCACATTTCCAGGACTTTAATGGATATAAATACATTGACAGTAACAATGAAGTTTAAGGAAGTCAAAGCTGGAGGGTCCTCCTGCTGTTGGGTTGTTGACCTCATGTGTTTTTGTGTTTTTAATATTCCTTTGTGTGCTCAGCTCTTTGTCATCCGCTCTAATCTCCTCTAAACAAACGTCATGAAGCCAGTGTAATTAGTCCAAAGTGTGTCGGATATGTTGACCCATTACACAACCATGTGTTTGAACAACTAATTCATATCCACAAGATTATCTCTGCTTTAGTTGTGACTCAGAGAAACCAGAGAGAAACCAGAGAGAGACCAGAGAGAGACCAGAGAGAGACCAGAGAGAGACCACAGAGAGACCAGAGAGAGACCAGAGAGAGAGACCAGAGAGAGACCAGAGAGAGACCAGAGAGAGACCAGAGAGAGACCAGAGAGAGAGACCAGAGAAAGACCACAGAGAGACCACAGAGAGACCAGAGAGAGAGACCAGAGAGAGGGACCAGAGAGAGACCAGAGAGATAGACCAAAGAGAGACCAGAGAGATAGACCAAAGAGAGACCAGAGAGACCAGAGAGATAGACCAAAGAGAGACCAGAGAGATAGACCAAAGAGAGACCAGAGAGAAAGACCAGAGACAAAGACCAGAGAGAGAGAGAGACCAGAGAGATAGACCAAAGAGAGACCAGAGAGAAAGACCAGAGACAAAGACCAGAGAGAGAGAGAGACCAGAGAGATAGACCAAAGAGAGACCAGAGAGACCAGAGAGATAGACCAAAGAGAGACCAGAGAGAGAGACCAGACAGAGAGACCAGAGAGAAAGACCAGAGACAAAGACCAGAGAGAAGACCAGAGAGATAGACCAAAGAGAGACCAGAGAGATAGACCAAAGAGAGACCAGAGAGAGAGAGAGACCAGAGAGAAAGACCAGAGAGAGAGACCAGAGAGATAGACCAAAGAGAGACCAGAGAGACCAAAGATAGACCAAAGAGAGACCAGAAAGAGAGAGACCAGAGAGAGAGACCAGTGAGAGAGACCAGAGAGAGACCAGAGAGAGACCAGAGAGAGACCAGAGAGAGACTAGAGAGAGAGAGACCAGAGAGAAACCAGACAGAGAGAGACCAGAGAATGATCAAAGAAATACCAGAGAGAGACCAGAGAGAGAGAGAGACCAGAGAGAAACCAGACAGAGAGAGACCAGAGAAAGACCAAAGAAATACCAGAGAGAGACCAGAGAGATAGACTAGCGAGAAACCCAAGAGAGACCGGAGAGAGAGACCAAAGAGAGAGAGACCGGAGAGAGACCAGAGACACCAGAGAGAGACTAGAGATAGAGATAGAGATAGAGAAATTAGAGAGAGACCAGAGAGAGACCTTGAACCATGAGTTATTGTGTGTCCTCAGAGCGCGGAGGAGACCTGGACTTCTCCACCTTCCTCAGCATCATGCACCGTCAGCTCCAGCAGGAGGCGCCAGAGGCCGAGGTCTTGGAGGCTCTGCAGATGGCAGACAAGGAGCAGAAGGGCTACATCCTGGTGTCTGAACTGAGGTCCAAACTCACCTGTGGAGGAGAGAGGCTCACGGACCAGGAGGGTGAGGACCAGGACCAGCACACAGCACCAGCTCATATCTCTGGTCCCTCTGTGGTTTCGTTCTGATCTCTCTCTGGTCCCTCTCTTTGGTTTCTCTCGGCTTTCTCTCTGCTCTCTCTCTCTCTGGTTTCTTTCTGGTCTGGACTCTCTCTCTGGTCTGTTTCTGGTCTCTCTCTGGCCCCCGACTAGTTCACACCAGACTAGTCTGGTGTGAACAATACATTTACATAGATCCTTTTGACCTTTCTTTAAGAGACAAATTCAGTGTCTCTCGAGGACCAGAGGAGCTTCACATGGTGCATAAAAGCCCTTTCCTCGGCGTGTCGTCCAATCAGCAGGGAGCAGACACGTTATCTTCCATTTAGCGAAGTTAACATTTACCAAAATGAGGTTATCTTATAAATGTCAAAAATGAATGTAACCTGTAAATCCCCTCAAAGCCCGACTGTGAAAGCTTTAAATGAGCAGATCACAGAGAGCTGGAACTCTGAGAGGAGGAACTCTGCAGGAGGATGTAGATCGATAGATTCTTTATTGATCCCTGTAGGAGAAATTCAGATGTCCAGCAGCAGCAAAAACCCATCCATCCACACAAACAAACATACAAACACATACATTGATAATTCTAAAAAGCTAACAATAGTAACAATAATAAGCAACAGTCCTTCAGGTCACAGCAGCTGAGGTGGAGCAGCCGCTTGGTTCTGACCATTTTCTCTGCTCTAGTCCACAATAAAATGCTAAATCCTTCATTAGCCGTTTTCCAAAAGTTAGCATTCCTTCAATGGATTTTCACCGGATCCGCTTGGTTCGGACCATGAATCCTCTCTGCTCTGGTCTGTACCAGTGCAAAACCATGAACACTGTACTGCAGCAACAGCTCAGGTAGAAAAAAGCAATACAAATAAAAATTGTAAATCGAAAGAACAACAACTGTTTCAGAGCAACTTAGGACTTGCTGCCGTTTACAGCGCATTCAAGAGTAAACTGAGAGGACATCATTCCAAAGTAATTTCTGCGACTCCTCTTAAAATGCGGAATCAAGGTATGACACTCTTCACAAGTGTCATTCATTGTGGTTGTGTCCTTAGGCAAGGCACTTCACCCATATTAGAATGAGTCTGGTGTGTGAGTGAATGGTTGTTGGTGGTAGGAGTGGCTGATGGCACAAACAAGTGGCCTCGCTTCTGTCAGTGTGCCCCAGGGCAGCTCTGGCTACAGTAGTCATCTATGACCTGTGGTGTGTTTGTGTTTCAGTGGACGACCTGCTGAAGGAGGCAGGAGTGGGAACAGACGGGAAAGTTTACTGTGAACACTTCTCTAAAGCTGTAGCTCGATTCTGCTCCAAACCATGAACTGTGCTCGGACCAAGAACCTGGATCGCAGTCTTTTTCTTCAATAAACACTTCATACAGACTTCAGCTCCATATTATACACTATTGTGTAACCCTTACCCTGTCTCATATCTCTCTCTCTCTCTGATGTCTCTCTGGTCTCTCTTTGGTCTCGCTCTCTGATATCTCTCTCTGGTTTCTCTTTGGTAACTCTGGTGTTTCTCTGGTGTCTCGCTCTTGTCTCACTCTAGTCTCTCTCTGGTTTCTCTCTTATCTCTGAGATTTTTTAGCCTAATTTTTGTCATTGAAAAAGTATATATAGGTTTAGTTTAAAGCAAGGAAGGTGAGTGCTGCAGAGGGTACGAGTAGTAGAAGGCTTAAATAACAGGTGCTCTTCAAAGATGGGGCAATCTAAGCAGATTTAGGCTATATCCACACGAAGACAAAATGCTTATAATTTCAGAAACTTTTTCTGTAAACACGGAGTTAGCTCAGTAAATGTGTGCGTCCATATGAATGTAGTCAATACGCCTGAAAACGCTGTGAAACTATGCCAGACCTGTTGGTGGCGCTGTGACGCAATGACGGGATCAAGCCCAAACTTCCGTGACGGGAACTGGGCATGCGCAGAATTTTGTAAACAGACAACATGGCGAGTGGGCGAGCTGGTACTACATTAGTATGGACGGACGATGAGGTTGAACTGTTGCTTCGGGTCACACTGGATTACAAAACCAACAAGCTACATTGTTGTCATTATTTTCTGAGTGCGGCGCATGCGTGCTTTAACAAGAGGCGGGGCAATGACGCAAGCGTCTCAGATACATTGCGGAGAGGCAGTAACCACGGAGCGGCATATACGGAGTTTTGAAATCTTTCCACTCTGGGACCTAGTTTCAAAAATGTTCGTTTACACCCCCCCAAAACGCCGGCCTCGTATGGACGATACACTGGATTGATAAAGTATTTTTGCGTTTAGGCCTGAGCTTGACTTCGTGTGGACAGGGCCTTAGAATGTCAAAAAGAAGAAAAGAAGTCTGAGGCACTCTGTTATAGTGAAAAAATATAAGTCCTTTATTAAATGGACTGCCTACGCGTTTCGACCAACAGCGGTCTTCGTCAGGGCATAAATAATCACCTTCAGGTGTACCTCTTAAAGCAAAGCAAGTCACATGACAGGAAGAACATGTGACACAGTGTTACCTTACACAATTTTTACAAAACATTTATACAAAATCACCAGTATGACTTGAGTCAGAAAAGAATACAAAATATTAATATATATTAATTCATATTTGGGAAGGACATGAAAAAAAATGTATATAAATACATAAACTGTGTACACTCAAACAAATACACAAAGAGCACCACAGGTAAAAGTAAAGAGAGCAAGCATAGATATATGGCATATATACAGGTTTATTTGAAAATGTCATGACAACTCAAACTATATTCTTACAACAGTTTCGAATAATATTTGTCCATTTGACCTGTGCTTATTATCATGTGCATTTTTTTTCTGCATTTTAATAAAAGTTCCCCGTACAGTTTTCTGCAGTGTTTGGTGACTTCTCTGACACAGCTCCTCGGCCAAACCATTACTGCAATTTCACCTCCTCCAGTGACGAGAACTTACCATTATGTGGAAAGTGGAACTCTAACATTGCAGCTTTAAAATTTGAGATGGATAAAGAGGTAACTTAAAGGTAACTTTATGGTCCTCTGCTCTGGGTGCTCTACCCCACTAAGCAAGCCGACGTTGAATCAACGTAATTTGAACGTCGTTGTCCGACGTAGAATATAGGTCACTGGTGGGTGCAGAATGAAAGTTTTCTCGACGTCGTTTCCCGACGTCACCTCAACCTCCAAATGTTACGTTGATGGTGTTAAGGAAGTTTCTATCCAATGAAGGAGAAAACTCAAAGGTCTTTGTCTTAATTCAGGAGCGTAAGTTTATTGTAACACACGTGCGGAGAGCCAGCATATACAAAGAAAGGCAGCATATCCCAGCTCTGGCTCGCAGAGCTCAGGCTTCCTGTTTACATAGACATCACATGAAAGACAGTCACGCCCACAACAGATGGGAGGGGGCCACCGGTGCAGGAGGCGCATAGGGAGAGGCGCCATCCCCGTGGTGACAGTGGCATGGAGGTGCGAACAGACAGACAATGGTAGAAATGCAGGCATACAGATGCAAGACGCGAAAGGCACAAGGGTGTGAGGGTGATTTGCGTCATTGTCTGGCGGTGCGGGACCTTCCTGCCGGTTATCTGAATAAAGCAGCGGGGGGAGTTGGCGTCCCTGGGTGGGCAGATTCCCACCACATTCCTCTCCCGTGATAATGTAGAAACTCCAGTTTTACAGAGATCACATTCAGGTGGGTGAGTATTGACCTTGACCCCTGAGCAAAACACGAGTTGTTGATGGGCAGGCTAGGCTGCCGTCACCCAAGCCTCTTGTATTACGAGGGTGTGGTCAAAGCTCTTCACTGTGATACCCTCCCCCTAAATTGTAGGCGAAACAAGTGGAAAAATAAAAACAAGGTAAACAAGAAAGAAAACATTAGACAAAGTCATCGTCCGAGTCGCTGATATAATCAGGATCGGAGTTCAGTGGGACAGCGGCCAGGTCCGCCTCGGGGTCTTTGTATTGAATGGACACAAAGTGAGTGGATATCATTTTACCAACGGCCCGAAACACCAAAGGTAATACACATGAAAATAAAACCATAACAGTCAATAGGGCTAAACCAAGATTAATGAGCACGCTCCGCCAGGAGGACAGGAGCCAGTCCAGACCGTGAGGAGTGTCCGTGACATTGTCCGCTTGCATGACGTCCCGGAGCCTAGTCAGATTGGCTATGCCCTGTTGGATAAGACCTCCGTCCTCATCATTAGCCGGAATATATGTACAGCAGGACGACCCGATGATCGTGCATACGCCTCCCACAGACGCGGTCAGGTGGTCCAGGACCAACCGGTCCTGAAGAACAACGGCACGTAGGTCGTAAAGTTCAACTCTCTGTGATTCAAGTATGGACACTGTGGTATTGACAAAACCTGAGAACCTATAGCTCAGGGTCTCCGTCCTTAGCATTAGTTTACCTACACCCAGGCTGGGAAATAATGCTAACATTATTTTCTGGCCTGTGGTCCATAATTTGTGGTCATCGGGTACATTAGTGCCCCACAGGGGGTCGTGTGGTGTGTAGAGTTCTCTCTTGTCTCGGTGTTGGGCCTTAGGGAGTGTGGAGATGATGTATGAATGGTCGGCAGGAAGGGCGGCCGCACAGCGTCCCTCCCATTTTGCGGGCAGACAGTCATACATGCGATATCCGCACAGATACATGTGAGACTCTACGGGCCGCGTTCCTAAAATGTCTGGTACCGTATAGTACGGGACACACACGCTTCCCGGGGCTGCCTGGGAATCGTTAAGTTTGCTGCTGTTGGCCATGTATGTGCAGGGGCTATATACAATAGAGCAGAACTCAAGTGGGATATTTCCCACATGAATGGGCTCTTTCGGGAGAGTAAGGCTGGTGTTGGCCCGAGACCAGGAGTGGGTGTAGCATATAAATTTGGAGCCAGGTTTGATGTGCACTGGGCCGAAGATTGGCTCTTCCCCCGGATGGCTGCCGGATTTGAGACGCAGCTCTCCCTGGGCAAGGGGCTTGAGTTTTGGGGGCACCGCAAAAAACATTGCTGGAGCCCTGGGATCGGACATTGAAACCAGGGTGTGAGGGATGATTTTGGAAATATTTGGCACCGGTAAGGGGATTATGTGGGGGTTTGCGGCGGCTATAGGAAGGTGGGTGCATACGTAGCAATTGGATCTATTGTGGCTATCTGCGACGTATTTTGCATACTGATACCAAAGGTTGAGTGAATAAACTGTAGAATATTTGTAGGATTTACTCAAGGCCTCCAACCAAGCAGTGTCGTCGGAAGCAAGGCTGCGTGTAATGCGTGTCATGGCTTGAATCACAGGGTTTTGAGTTTCAGAGGAAGACAATATTAACATAATAAACACAGTCAGCACGGAAAGTAGTGTCAGTGTGGCCAGCATAACAGTCCAAGGGCCCATGCCGGTCTTAGCCGGGCTACATTCGGTAGTCTTTTCCGCGGGAATACTCACGAACAGTGCCGCCTTGCAGTCAGTGGCACCGCTCCCTATGAGCGTGTGTGGAGCGTTAGTGGTCATGGCGATGTTTGGTCTTGGAGCGGCAAGACTCTATTTGCGTTGAAGCCTTGGCCTCAGCACTCGGTTGGGCAGAGTGCTCGGGGTTTGGGGTGTGGCCTTGGGGTCCGGGGGCTGGGGAGTTGGGCAAAGGGGGGTTGCCTCGGCAACGCTGGGATTCTCTGGGTGTTGTTGTTGGCCTGCTTCACCGATGGTGGCCGCACGCCGGCCGACCTCTTCAGCGTAGGGAGCCGCGGATGGGCCTGGTCCGTCCGCGCCCTCGGTGTCCTCGTCTATGGCCCTCAGTGGCAGCACCGCACGACAGTGGTTGGTGTGGATCCAAGTTGTCCTCTCCGCGACCTTAACGGCAGTGTCCGTCACCAGGAGGACGAGGAATGGGCCGAGCCAGCGCTTGGACCGCCAATGCTTTCGTCTCGTTTCCTTCACCAGGACTCAGTCGCCTGGCTTGATCCTGTGCAGAGCCGCCTGCGCAGCCTGTGGCAGGGCGCTCCTGACCTGGGCAGAAATAGAGGACAAAAGTGCATTAATTTCCTTTTCTTCTTCTAAATTATCACGCAAGATGCGTAATTGATTTAGAGACATGGAACCTCCGTCGGGAAAACCAAATGAACTACACCATATAGGCAAGCATTCCATAGCTTTAGCTCCGAATCGTTTTTCCATAGCCATAGTAACGGGGGACGTCAACATTCCCCGCGGCGTGGCATCTCTAGATTGATTTTTCCCCATTTTCTCGTATAGAACAATGGACCTAACCCGTGTAGTCTCTTCCCTGCTCTTTACTCGCTTTGGAGCGATTCGTTCCCCCCCCGCTGGTTCAA